ATGCCATTCGCTCAAATAATACGAATACATCCATTTGTTGCATAATCAGCATGGAAGAAGAAAAAAAAAATAAAGAATTGGTTCTCGATGGGTCTCTTCCGCAGTCTTTCGTGTTCTCTTTCGTAATGTAACCTTGATCCTCCAAATGTCTTGGGATCTGTAGCAACTGGTTTCTTTCCTCTCAATGCTTACTTTAAGTCTTCTTACTGCCTCTTCTTTCTTACGTTTCACACTTATTCAGCCTATGAATACAAGCCACAAGTGGTGCTGCCTGGTGGCATATGTTGATACTAAACGAGCGAAGAGTAGCTTTTTTTTTCCCCGTGCGAGTCTTGGAATAACGTCGGATTATTGTTAGAAGCGCCGATATATAATCAAAGGAACTTATTCTCATTGAAGTTGGCATATTAAATAATAAATGGCTATAGGCTTAATCACGCTCATTCGTAACTTCATATGGCCTTTGCAAATATATAATCGTTTGTTTTATAAATTGGCTTATCAATCGTATCATCCGTCATTCGATTAGCTGATAACCAAGCAATTTAATTCTAATATCGTGCATAAATTTGCAATACCATACATTGATAATTATAATGTTAAGCGTAAGCTCATTAAAAAGTGAGATACACATTGGCAAAATTTAGCCGTCTATTATATGTTTGTATTAAATAATCTCATACGATCCGTAAAGCGATGATTATTAATTGTAATTTTTTACTGCATACCTTTTTACACGTACTTACGTACTTGTTTACTCGCTCACTCACTTACTCGAGAAAATGGTTGTCGTTATTTTTCACCCAACCCATTATTATCTTGGTTTTTAGATTGTTTATAGATTATTTTGCTTTTCTGCCACAGAACAGTGAATAAAATGCAATTGTGCATTTCAATAAAAATGCCAGAGGTATCGTTGAAATTTTTATCCACTTATACGCATATTTAAAGTAATCAGGCGTATATATATATATATATATATATATATATATATTGTCCAGCCTTTTTCTGACGTTATTCTTTCGATTTTAGTAAAAAAAAATTTACAATAATCTTGCAAATAAGAGATTGGTGTTCATACTTTCTCATACACTACACATTCACACGATTAAGATTTATGTACCGCACATTATTATCGATTATTATGCAACATTTATTTCGGGATATTAATTTAATTATTAGCTATTATTAAGAGCAATGAAATACTACTATTATTATTTTTTCGATCTCATTAACGAAACACTTACCTTTGCAAAATTATGGAATAAAATTTGTGTAAATTTATTATGCTTTTATGTATAAATATGTATTTAATGACCATAGATAATTTTTAAACAAATTTTTTTAAATTACCACTAGTCTCCAATTCCATTTCGAGACATATGATAAATTATTGTCGGAATAATCTTTGTTATTTAATAAATGAGTGATACATTTAAAAAGTATTGTCATGAAGTTATGTGTAATACGTTCAAAAAAAAAAAAAAAAAAAAAAAAAAAAAATATATATATATATATAATAATTTATCTTATTTTTGTATATTTCTTCGATGTAATCACATAATATTTCATTGCAATTTTTATTAATTTTACGAGTATTTTATAATTGCGATAAAGTTCAAAAGTAGAATTTCAATTTTTGAAATTCATTTGCCAATGCTCGTGACCAGATCCTATAAATATGCTAATCATTTCCAAAATTATTATATTTACATTCTTTCATTTGTTCCACTTGATTATATAAAATAGCATCGTTCGACTATCCATCCAAACACTATTTGCAAAGTGATAAAAAAAAAAAAAAAAAAAAAGTAAACGAAAAAGAAAAAGAAGAGGAGGAAGAAAAAGAACAAGAACATTTTTATGAAATATTAATCTGATAAGCGAAAGACATGTGGATGAGAAGCATCTGTATCTAAATTTTTTGTCCCCGACTCACTCGATAACGCATAATCAGTGATTTTCTCGCTCCCTAATTATATTCTTTAATTCTTGCGTGCGTAAGCATTGAGTCCATGGCCGTTATATTGGCTTTCTATCCATTTATCTAGATCTCCCTTTATGTGAAATCTCATGCCCCCTCTCTTTCTCTCTTTATCCCTTGTGTACTCACTCTCTAGCTCATTCGAATCAATACGCGACTGGTGAAGCCTGGAGATGTGTTGTTGTTGCTGCTGCTGCTGCTGTTACTGCTGCTGTTACTTCTGTTATTCATGTAACTCCCAGAGTCTCTAGTGGTATGCGTCGAGTGCAGACTCTAATACAGTCCCTAGAGCAAAGGCATTTTGCCCGGTGAATTACAATAGCCGTGTACGGCGTGTCGGATATACTCTCATCATTTCGAGAAAATTGCTATGTTCCTTAGCTCTGGACACGCGCGCCCTAAAAGAGTGTGGCGCAAATTGCTCGGAGATATTTCAATTTTCAAATTTGCCCGACAAAGGCAGATTTTGCCGTCCAGTCAACGTTGCCCGTCTCAGCTGGCGGGGCCAACGTACCAAGGTATCCATGTACGTACGCTACAGACTCGTACGCGTGATTAGTTTGGATAGTGGTGCGCACCTAGTTGAGCGTGGTGTTGTCCAATGAAGTAAGTGTTCTCACGCTCGGTTTACCACTGTCAATGTGTACCTGTGTGTAGTAGAGTAGGCGCGTACAGTAGGCTCTCGCAAAGTGCCTTCCCGTCCAAAGATATTCTTCACGCTTTGATGCTTTCGTTCGCCAATGCGAGTGAAATAGAATTCATTCGATTTGACTTTACAGACTCGGGCGTTACGACGAACACGTGGAGTTGGCAGGAGCGTGTGGAGTGGAGAAAGGAATCGGTACTTGAGCATTTTCAGAGTACTCAATAGCCGATTCTTTGCTCTGTCTCTCTCTCTCTCTCTCTCTCTCTCTCTCTCTCTCTCTCTCTTTCCGATGTAATTCATCAATTCCTGTCCTCCTTCGTTTCATTATCTTTATATTCGTATAGCGAGCCAACCCACCTCGGCGTATTGTCGATCAATTGAGATGCTCCAGTATGAGAGGTTGGACTGTAGAGACGTAGACGTAGATGTAGACACGTGCAGCACGCCCTCGTACTTTATGCCATTGGCTTTGGTTTGTCCGAGTGAAGCAAACAATGCGCAACGACAAAAGTCCGCGATGACTAAAGCTTAACTAAACGTGCCGTCGTAATCATCATCGTATTATCATTCTCGTTGTTGTCGTTTGTTTATTTGTTTGTTTGTTTTTGTCTTTTTCATTCGACAGGTTGTTAGCCGAGGCACCGCGGCACCTCGTACAATTCAGCATCCCTCTACTTTAATACTTTAGCCGGCCAGTGAAATTTAACCGTTCCCATGTTATAACGTTCGGCAAATTTGGAGCGGCAAAATTTATTCCCAAGCACTTGTGGCTGAGCAATGGAGTGCGCAAGCTGCGAAAATAGCACCTCCTCCAGCCGTCGTGAAAACCGGTGGTGGCCATCCGCGCGGTCGACGACACTTTACTCGTCTGGGAATTACATCCGCGGTGCTGGCACTGTAGGGTTGTCTTCTCGCTGAATTTTGTCGGTTGAATCGAAGGGGGCGAGCGTCGCTGCTACGTGCCTCGATTGGTGGGTGGGGATAGAAATTGGCAGTCGAATGGCGAAAATCATATTTACACGTAGGTGACGGGGAGGAGAGGCGTAAGGTTCTATTCGTCCTCGAGCTGGCACATCGAGTCCATCGTATTTATCATGCAAAAAATGAAAATTATAAAAATATCAATGGCTGGCAGCGGTTTATCATTTCGCTTGTTTAACGCCAATAAATTAAGCTTACTAAACAGTTAATTAACGCACCTCGTGCTCTTTGCGATCGTGCCAAGTACTTTTAAACAAGCGATTAATTTTGTGTTTTTTGTTTTTTTCTTTTGTTTTGCTTCTGTCATTCCTTTTGTTTCAAAAGATTTGACGAATTTTGAAGCAAAGTTGCGAACGCAAACAGTCAAAGCCCAGGGAATCTTTTTACTTGGAGTATCGAGAGTGCGAGGGTCGATCTCCTTGCGGCAGCCTCTCATTGACTATACAAACTTGTTTCGCTTCGACTTGGTGAAAATGGCTTGGAAATGCGCCCGTCTCATCAGCCTAGCTTGAAAATTAACTCGGAACTATCTAGAAAGTACGGACGGCACAGGGCGCGTGCGTACCAACGCCCCCGACAAGAGCAAATTAAAATCACTCGATTTATTATTCGCTGAGGCTGAGCAATTTTTCGAGCGTACTCGATTAAAATAGCGGCCGGGAAACTTAGAGCGGCTCGCAGTCCCTTATAATAAATTTATTCAACTTGAGGATAGAACTTAAAGGCGACTCTCCGTTATTACGGCACCCCACTTTTCCAGCCGAATCGTCCACGAATTATTTTCCATTGTCCATTCGGGAGACAACGCGACGGGCTCGAGTCGCTCGGGCATCCTCGACGTTATACAATAGCGTCGAGCATCGTTGCCTAGACGACGATTTATCCGAGCTTTCATAGCCTTGCTTTATATATCCATATATATATATATACGGTATATATATATATATACAGTAGCACACGCACGCGCCCACGCACGTGCTCACTGTATCTGCACCCGAGTGTGCGTGGATGAATTTTAAGGGCGGGAGGGAGGGAGGGAGGAAATTTTTGAGATCATGACTTGTCGCTGGACCTATAATCGAAGGCATTTATGGGTTCCGAAATCAGCTGTCCATCTCAAGGACGAATAATGTGGCAACGAATTTCCCCACTATCCTGTCCGAGCCGTACATTTTAGTATTATGATCGAGCGATGATAGATTCGATGAGGTGGAACGAGACAGCGGTCTCGAACGGGATAAGGCTCAAGCCCTTGCTAAACCTTAAACCATCGCCGTGTCGTCCTATTCCCCCCCCCCCCCCCCCCCCCCCCCAAC